ATATAATGTTTCAGAACAGCTATTATAAATAATATAGGTCAAATCCTAAAGACTCATTCAGAGACTTCTGTAATATTGAAATTTATTATCTGGTGTTGTTTTTTATTAAGTGGACCATTCCTGCGACTTTGTTATCTGTTGTTAACAAGTTCTTTGTCACAGGACTGAAATCTGAATTTGCTGGCCTGTGTGGCATTCTGGAGAACTGGCAAAACAGGGAAGCATGGGTTGGTTCATTCAAGGTCAAGGAATGGAATCCTATTCCCAAGCTCCCCAAGACAATTTAAGTTCATGATCCTAATTGCTGTCGTACTCAAATTCAGACTTTTCTGAATATCTTATGATTAAAATATTTAAGTCACACAGCTGCAGAATGTATAATCAGCTACTAGGGTTTTGATCTTAATGTTTGTATCAGCATTAATTTACAACAGTTGAACTGTTAAACAAAAATTTCTAATTAAAGCTTACAACTTATAAAGCCCCTTGTCCTCTATAAGACATATGAGTAAAACCAAAGTCTTGTCCTCAATGAGCTGATACAGAAAATATACAAATAACTATACAAATATACAAATATACTACCAAACATAATATAAGTGCCATAAAGAAAGTTTAGAAAAATACCATGGACCTTTAGAGAAGGGAGATCACAATCTGTTTTGGGTCAGGGAAAATAACATGAACCAACACATGAGAAATGGGGGATGAGCAAGGAATGTGTTTAGGAAACAATGGAAGATACAGCTTGGCTAAAGCCCAGTGTACGGGGAGCAAATAAGACTCAAAAGGTAGGGGGAACTACATTGCCCGCAGAGGGCTTTGAAGGCAGGTTGAGGACATAGAATAAAGCCACTGTGTGTGGCTGTGCTACAAACAAGACTGTGGCTCTTGAAAAGATAAAAGTAACTAATGAAATGAGCTGGACTGAGAGCACAGGAAGGTGTTATCAAGCCTACAAAAAGCCAGGTAAGGGAATAAGGAAGCTCGGAGCCAGGTGGCTCCCAGGTGGCAGCAGGAGTGGAAAGCAGATATTACAGACTTTGAATGTACTAGACTTGGTAACAGATTTGGTATTCAGGGGCAATGAAAGGGGTAGGAGGAGTCAAAAGATAATGCCACCGTTCTGAATCTGGATGACCCAGAAGAACAGAACAGCCCTAATAGAAATAGGGAGGTCAAGGGGGAAGAACTAGGTGTTCTGTATTGTTCAGGTTGGGGGCAGCAAGCTGCATCTAAGGTCCTGGTCTGGACATGTTAAACTCGAGGAATCAGGTGCAAACTTCTGGTACACAAATAGAAACATGAGTAGAGAAGAGAAGAGGGCTCCGGAATGAGGACGAGAATTCAGTCCCCTCCGCAGACAGGGTAATGCAAGCAGTGTGAGGAAACAAGACGAGATAAAAACAACGATGCAGTCGGAATCTTGGAAAATGACTATATTTAGAAAACGGGAAAAAGAGGACTCAATAAAAGTGATTATGGGTCTGAGGCAGGAAAAGAACCAAACGGCCATAAAAGCTAGACTGTCTGATAAGTAAGCATTTAAAAAAGGACAAGCTATCATTACAGTGTCAAACACTGAAAAGAACCCAAGAAGGGTAAGTACTGAGAAAAATAAAAGGCCATGGCAATGTGGCATTGAAGAGTTCCGTGGGCTTTAAGAAGTCAGGTGGCAAAGGCTTGGGAAGGGGAGATGGCTGCAGGGAGGAAGATACTGAGCCTCCCAGAAGCCTAGACGCTGGGGGGGGGGAAGAGCAGTCTTTTAAAGGGTTAAAAAAGGCGCCCTGGTGACACAACAATTAAGTGCTTGGCTGCTAATCAGAAGATTGGTGGTTCTAACTACCAGCCACTCAGCGGGAGAAAGATCTGGCAATCTGCTTCCAGTAAAGATTACAGCCGAGACAATCCTACGGGGACAGTTCCACTCTGTCACATGGGGTCATTATGAGTTGAAAATCACTGAATGGCACCTTACAACAATAAAATAGAGAAATCCACTCTCCTATCTTTATGGAAACCCTGGTGGCATAGTGGTTAACTGCTATGGCTACTAACCAAAAGGTCAGCAGTTCAAATCCACAGGTGCTCTTTGGAAATTCTATGGGACAGTTCTACTCTGTCCTACAGGGTCATTATGAGTTGGAAACTATTGGACTACAGGGATTTTTTTTTTTTTTCAATCTTTATGAGTCAGAATTGACTTGAGAGCAATGGATTTGTTTTGTTTTGTTTTGTTTTAAATCTCTAAGGCAAAGAACTACATTCAAATTTTAATGTAAACCCAGTAGGGTACAGATAAGCTAACTCTGACGGGGATGTGGGGGAAGAAAATCCCTTATTTGTAGCATTTGATGATTTCTATGGTGTAAATACTCCCACCATGGTTGATTTCAAGCTGCCAACAGCTGGCAAAGCTCCTGAAAATTTAGGAATAGCTTGCCGGTGCAAGCCAACTCCCGCACACCACACTGCAAACTACCTCTTTTATACTCTATCCTGCAACTGAGCAATTCTTATTATCTGTGGCAGCTCTCCTCTAAACTCAATTGATACTTAATCATTCTCTGGAACAATCTTGCAGTAATTCATAGAAGTCTGGCCTACTCTTGTTGCATTTAGCTTTTTCAACTGTACTGTAATTGAAAAGCATTGGATGTTGAAAACAAAAATGGTTCCTAAGCATGCTTGTCTTCACTAAGAGAGTCACAAAGGAAGAGACCAGAATCAGCATGCTGCAAAAAACCTTTAGATGGGAAGTTTATAACTGTTTCCTTTGTTAATGCCATCTCCCCATCTAAACTTGAAATACTATAAGGATAGGGAACTTGATTCAAGACTTCTCTTTTCCACTTGGTTCTTGGGATACTTCTATTGTGGAGTAACCAAAGTAAAAAAGAAAAAAGGGGGAGAGGAAAGAGAGAGAATTGTGCTCTGGGCCAATGCAAGGATTAAATAATGAAGTACCAGCAGAATGAGCAAAAGAAACAAGAGCTAAGCACATTCCACATGGAGTCCTGATCCCAGCGAGGCAGGAGAGCTATGGGGAAAGTTCCTCAGACTAAATCCAGACATCACTGGGGACTCCAATCCAGCCCTGCTACTTGCTGGGGTGCTAGTAGCCTTCCCAATCCCAATTTCACCTGAAAAATGAAAACAATAATACCTAAAACACAGTTTCTTACTTGTGTCCCTGTAACATTCAGCATCCTACCTCAATGGAACAGGAGGCAATTCCCACACTGGTAGCTTGTTCCGATCTGGTTTGGCACAACATTTTTGGCTTGTGAGCCTACTTTCAGATGTACTCTTTGGTCTTGAGGTTGTGGGGCTTGGGAGTCCAGGGCACAAACATGAAAGGGATTGTGGCTTTGAGTGATGGCTGGAGGTCACTGGGAGCAGTTACCAACAAACCAAAACAGTGGCTTTATTCATCATACAAACAACTCTCAGAAGAAGAACCTAGTTTCTTGTATTTCACAATTTCCTATCTCAGATGTCTTTCCAAATACCCCTGTATTCACAGTACTCCAGATTATCTTTTATAATTTAGGTTATGTTTCATATGCAAATTTATAGACATCTGAAGTAGAACTGTTGTTGAGAAATTAAACACAAATGGGAGAAGGAATATAGATGTCTACTTAGTTTCCAATTTAGAAGATTAGCTTTGAGAAATAAGGCAATATTGTTCACAATAATTTAATTCGTCCACTATTATTCTAACAAGTGCGTGAAGTTAGTTACATTTAAAAAAAAGTAAATGTAACATATTTGCATATCAAATAAGGTATATATTAGATATCTTCCAACTTCCATAAAGCTTCCTACTTTGTCTTCTTATTTGAAGAGGTGCCCGCACGCACGCACGGACGCACACACTTCTCCAGTAAAGCCATAACTAATCACAGATACAGATACACACAAAATAAACGGGAAGAGGGGTTTGGCAGCAAGGAACATCACCATCTGAAAGATTATTACTTTCGAACTTGTTATCCATATCTTAAATGTTAACCTTCTTTCTGTATTTGTAAGTTAAACGTTTCTGAAACTCAAAGCTATACACCCACTCCTCCAATCCCCCTTTCCTTTAATGCTGGGATTTTCCTCCCTTCCGCATCCCTTTATCTCTGGCCGCTTCTTAGGTGAATTTAGGCTCTCCATCTCTTACTCCGAAGAAGCCCTGGTGGCGCAGTGGTTAAGCGCTCGACTGCTAACCGAAAGGTGGGCGGTTCGGTTGGAACCCACCAGCCGCCGCTCCGCGGGAGAAAGATGTAGCGGTCTTCTTCCGTAAGGATTACAGCCTTGGGAACCCTATGGGTCAGTTCTACCCTGTCCTACACAGCCATATGAGTTGGAATCGACTCGACAGCAGTGAGTTTGGTTTTTGGTTATCTCTTACTCCGACAAGGAAGCACCGCCCCTTTCTCCACTCTTTGGGGAGGCCCAGTCCGGGCGGGACTTTGGGTCTTACCCAAGAATGGACCAAGCACAGCGCGCACCTGGAAATCGAAGCCGCGCTGGGAAATGGACAGTTTCCCGTGACTCCAAATCAGGTGCAAGGCAGGCCAGGCATCACCCGCCGGCCGCGCTGGGCAAGGCCGGGGTCCGAAGCCTCCCCCTCCCAAAGGCGACCCCCCCCCAAAGGAGAAAGGGCCCAGGTCCGGGCGCCCGGGTCACCCTCCTCCGGCGCCAGCCCCGCGAAGCCACTTACACCACAGCGCGGCAGCCCCTCCGCGCGGGAATCAAGGCGGCCTCCCGGTGCTGCCCGGGTCAGACGCAGATACCGCCCGGGCCCGGCTCCGACGGGTGACCGCCGGGGTAGAGCAAGGCCGGGACTCTTCGGGGCGCCGCGCGAACTCAAACAGGGACCACACAGGGGAGCGGCCAGTGGCCGCCAGACGGGCTACGAGTCCTCGGTGCTGCCCGCCGGGCTCGCGCCCAGACCGCGCGGAAGGCGCGCGCCCGAGTCCCGCGGAGTCCCCGGCCGCACTCACCTCTCGCTCGGGTCCGCCGAGTCCATCGTCTCCTCCTCCGCCGCCATGGTCGCCACCGCTGCGGAAGCGCCGGATGGTTCCTTGAAGCCGGCTGTCAGGCCGACTGGGCCACCACGGCCAGCCACCGCCCTTAAGGACGTTCCGCCCGCGCATGCGTAGTCCGCCCGCTCGCGCGACCCGGCGGCGCGGCAGCCCGCTGCGAGTGCCTGGCCGTCCCCACCCGCGCCCATCGAACACGCATGCGTAGTCTCGCCCGACGTGGGCGCTGAGCGGGATAGTCAATCTAGAGCACCTGGTGCGATTTACCCGGCAGAGTCAGGTAGTAATTTCAATAACGAGTGTATTAATGCATCATCCCTCTGGTGTTGACTGTCAGGTGCTGGGCACTGGGCAGGCACCTGGTAGTACCCTGGGGACAGAGGTGCAGCTCTGCCCTGGAAGAGCTATGATAATATCTGGTGGATACTGCAGAGCCAAGGGAAGTGCTGAAATCCAGGTGCTGTTTGGCCTCCCGCTGTGGGTAGGTAGCGAAGGTGAGAGGGCGACTCACAGGGCCCTTCAATAAATATTTACTGACGTGACGGGCACTATTCTAGACGCTGGAGTTCGATTCGTGACCAAAACCAGCAAAGCCCGTTCCCCTCCATATACTTGGGAGGAGTGAAAAGAGTCGGTGTTTAGGACTTTGGGTTCTTGAGAGGAAATCACTAATGTTGCATTTCTTGACCTGTTTTGAAGCCTTTTATCCACCATATCCTGCAACCTGGTAATTATACACTTGCTACCATTTATTCGTTCGTATTTATTGTGTGCCTACTATGAGCCCACTCTGATCTAGGCACTAGGAAACTGGATTAAAATAGAGCTCCTGCCTTTATGGAGTCTAAGCTCATACATTAAGGAGCCCTAGTGGTGCAGTGGTTAAGCACTAGGCTGCTAATCGAAACGTCAGCTTTTCAAACCCACCCAGTGGCTATGTGGGAGAAAAGACCTGGCGATCTGCTCCGATAAAGATTACAGCCTAGGAAACCCTATGAGGCAGTTCTACTCGGTCGTATAGGGTGGCTATAAGTCAGATTCGAATCCACTGAACACAAGCTCATATATTACCCTTTATCATGGACTCAGTCCATCACTCCCCTTTTCTGACTCTCATCTTTCACTGCAGCCTGTTTCTGTTCCCTGAGCCCCTTTAACCCTGGCTGCCTCTGTCACCCATCGTGTACTCAGTTTATCAGTGTTGCATAATGGTTACAGTGTTCTAATGGACATTCTTGAGTATCCTTCCAACTACACCAGAAGTTCCTTGAGGATAGGGATGGTATCTTGTGTGATTTTTTTTAAGCCACTCATAATCACTTAGGCATAGTAGTATCTAATAAATATTTTAATTGTATTTAATCCAACTCATAAAATATCATAAGGAGCACAAGGACATGTAAAAACACTTTTCTGGGAATTCACAGTGTTGCCATAGGCTTGTAATGCCTCTCAAACTGAACCTCCACGATCTCTACCTCTCAGAGCACATCTATGTTGGGGGCACCACCATCCACATTTGCCAGGCCAGTTATTGGGTACTCCACTGTGTGGAGAACAATATCCAGCCCAGTGGTATTAAGTCCAGTGACAAAACCCTACGGTGTGGCTGCAACACCTTCACAAAGTTGGGTTGGCAAGCATGCGTCCCTGGAGGTCTTTTTGGACCTGGATCTTGCTCTCATAGACAAGCTCTTCTACCCTGAACAGTTAATCTCTGACAAGGAAGATCTGCTGATAATTAGGCTTGTGGTCACCGCACAGTGAAAAAAGAGATCATTGTCCAATGCTGGAGTTTATCCAGAAACTGATGGAGTACATAAGGCTATGGGACTTCCTGATCTTCCCCAACTATAAGTGTATCCCTGGCCCAGACTTTACCTTGCTGGGATGAAGGAGCTGTTCTTGACTATGGCAAGAAGTCCAAGCTGGAATAGGCCATCCACCCAGCCCTCAGATGTTCTCAACAGTGTTTGGAGTCCTACAGCTCTATCCTTACTACTGCACTGCCCTGGAGCCTCCTGACTGTTCTCCTGAGAGGCAATGAGACCAATTACAACACTGGTTACTACAACCTGAACCTCGAGGCATCTCACCTATACCAACATCAACTTCTACTTCTGCAAGATCTTTTCTTCCATCACTGCCTCCCAGCACTTTGGTGCTTCCTTGAAAGCAAACTCTCCAGAGTTTTAGGCCACCCTGGTGCCCTACCTCCAAATCTGCTTCGTTTGGAGACCTATTCACCTCTCACCTTGATTGAGCAGCACTTACATTGGGAGATCACTGGTGCCTACTTTGAACTTTCCAATCAGATGGTCAGATGCAACCCTCACAAAGGTGAGTTCATAGCCTGCTTTACCTGCTCTACCCCAGAGCTGTGGAGCCCAAAGAACTGAATGCTGCCATTGTGCCACGAAGGCCAAGTATAACATACAGGTTGTTGACTGGTGCCCCACTGGTTTTAAAATTGGCTTTAATTTCCAGCCCTCAACAATGATTCCCCAGGGAAAATGGTGAACAACACTACAGCCATCACAGGAGCTTGGGCCTTTATCACAAGTTTGGCAAGTAAGCACTTTCAAACCAGAATGAGGATAAGGCATGAAGGAGAGGAAGTTTTCTGAGGGCCTTGATGGCCTGGCTGCCCTAGAAATGGTTATAAAGAAGTGATATAATCACTTAGAAAGCAACTGTGGCAGGGAGATAATAGGAAGGGCATGGGGTAGTAGGGGAAAGGGCCAAGGGAAAGGCCTACACATCAGTCAGCTGTGTGACTTCGGAAAAAATCACATGATTAGGGCTTCTAGAATCTAATTTGCATACAAACTTGTGGAGGATGCTAGTTTAGTTTGGATTCCTGTCATTTGCAATCCAAGGAATCCTAATTAACACAGTATCATTATAATTGTTATAATTTAGGGCTCCCGAGAGGAACTGAAGATCTGACCCCAAGCATGGTCAGATCCCTGACAAATGAGATGGGCCGTAAAGGAGAATGGATTTGCCATGGTCTCTTCTTATCTCATTGATCAGTAAGGCTATGGTGAAACTCAGTACAGTATAGAAACACAGTGTTGGGCAACATCTTAAAATCTGTGCCAACTGCCCAGCCAAAAGTAGAATCTTTTCCACATTCCCTAACAAATGATACAACAAACATAACTAGCTGCCACTTTCCTCTTCTTTCCTACTAACAGCATCCCAATTTTATTCAGGATATAAATATGTTACATTAAAAAACTGCAATCCCTGGACTGCCCACCTCTGAACTTCTCAATATGTGAGGAAAGTCCTTTATCATTTTTGTTTCATACATAACCAAAAGAAAGCTGATGTAGCTATACTAACGGCACACAAATAGACTTTAATACAAGTGTTCCAAGAGATAACAAATGTTAAAGAGAACAAGCCAATAGAAAGATACAATTTAAATTTTTATGAATTTAATAACATAGCTTCAAAATGTATAAAGCACAAAATGGACAGAACTAAGATGAAAAATAGGTAAATTTATTATCATATAGCACATACAACATTTAACCAAATTAAACCACATGCTGGGCCATAAAACAAATCTCAACCAGTTATGAAGAATTAAAGTAAATACCATATTTTTACACAAGTAACATGCTTTCTACATTTGTTTGCCAACCGTGCCCTCTCCCCTTGAGGTATTTTCATAAGCACCACTATGTGTAAAAAAAATTAGCATAGCATGCTTACGAAAATAGCTCATAGGAGGAGGGCGCAGTTGGCAAACATAGAAGGTATGCATTATTTGTGTAAAAATATCGTTCTATAGGGTATATTCCATTGTCACAATGGAAGTAAATGAAGAATCAATAACAAAGAAAGTACTAGAAAATCCCCAAATATTCGGAAATGAAGTAATGCATTTTAAAATAACTGATGAAGAGAAAGTAAACAAAAAATCATAAAAGATATCAGAAAAATTTTTAATGGAATGACAATGAAAATGCAGTTTAGCAAAATTTGTGATGTAGCTAAACCTATCATAGATGGAAATTTATATCCCTAAATGCATATGTTAGAAAAGAAGAATGGGTGAAAACCAATGATTTACGTATCCAGCTTAAGAAAGTAAAAAATTAACAGCAAATAAAACCCGAAGAAAATTGAAGAAGTTATAATAGCAGAAATTAATGAAATGGAAAATGAATTTACATTGTTGTTGTAGTTGGATGCTGTCAAGTTGATTCTGATTCATAGTGACCCATGTGACAGAGTAGAACTGCCTCATAGGGTTTTCTTGGCTGTAATCTTTACAGAAGCAGATCACTAGGTCTTTCTCCCACAGAGCCACTGGGTGGTTTCAGATCACCAACCTGTCAGTTATCAGCCAAGCGCTTAACCATTGCGCTACCAGGGCTCCTTAAATGTACGTTAGAGAGAATTAAAAAACCAAAATTTAATAATTTTAAAAACCTATTAAATTGATAAACTCCTAGAAAGAACAACCAAAGAAAAAGCAAGGAGTCACAAATCACCAGTATCAGGAACTAAAAAGCAGAATTGACTACAGATTCTAATGACATAGAAAGATTATAAGATGATATTATGACCAACTTTATGATCATTAATTTTAAAATTTAAATGAAGTGGCCAATTTTCATCAACTGATTGATAGACAAGCACAACCTGCCAAGACTAACACAAGAAAGTATAGAAACTCTGAATAGTCCTATTTCCACTAAATAAATCGAATTAAAAATCATGTTATACCCAAAGGAAAGTAGAAGGAAGGAAATAAGAGCAGAAATCAATGAAATAGAAAATTAACAGAGCCAAACGTTGGTTCCTTGATAAACTTCTAGCTAACTGATCAAAAAAAAAAAAAAAAAGAAAGAAATTAAACACCAGTTAACAATATCAGGAATGAAAAGGTTTATCCCTACAGATTCCACAAACATTGAAAGGGTAATACGGCAATATTACAAACAGCTTTATGCCAATAAATTCTGTAGCTTAGATGAAATAGACAAAATCCTACCACAATGAGATACCATCTCACCCCGGCATTACTGGCACGAATCAAAAACACTGGAAATAACAAATG